GCCCCCGCACCCGCGGCAGCAATTATTACTGAGCGTCCTTATAGCGCCTGCACCGCTGCTGGTCCCAAGGCGCGTGCAGGCAGGCAGCAGCCCCGCGAGCCGCCTGCCACAGGGGAGAGGTGGGCAAGACCCTGCGAGACGGGGCACAAGGGACACAGGCGAGCCACCGGAAAATGATGTGACAAGCCCTGGCTGGCGCACAGAGGTGAGCTCCGATTAAAGCAGAAGCCCTGAGGATGTGCTGGGAAAGCAGAACGACGCCCCTGAGATACAGCTCAGCGGTTTGCAGCCAACCTACGGCGCGGTGCAAGGTGCTAAGGCAAGCAGGAACGACCTCCCGGCTCCTGAGCCTCAAAGCTGATCACAGCCTCCTGCCTCTGCACCCGCATCCATATCCACATCTGCACTTGTATCCACATACACATCTGCACCTGCACCCATATCTACATCAGCACCTGCATCCATATTGCAGCCAACCTACGGCGCGGTGCAAGGTGCTAAGGCAAGCAGGAACGACCTCCCGGCTCCTGAGCCTCAAAGCTGATCACACCGTCCTGCCTCTGCACCCGCATCCATATCCACATCTGCACTTGTATCCACATACACATCTGCACCTGCATCCACATCAGCACCTGCATCCACATTCACATCTGCACCTGCATCCACATCTGCACCTGCATCCATATACACATCCGCACCTACATCCACATCAGCACATACATCCACATCAACACCTGCATCCACATACACATCTGCACCTGCACCCATATCTACATCAGCACCTGCATTCACATCTGCACCTGCATCCACATCTGCACCTGCATCCATATACACATCCGCACCTACATCCACATCAGCACATACATCCACATCAACACCTGCATCCACATACACATCTGCACCTGCATCCACATCAGCACCTGCATCCACATTCACATCTGCACCTGCATCCACATCTGCACCTGCATCCATATACACATCCGCACCTACATCCACATCAGCACATACATCCACATCAACACCTGCATCCACATACACATCTGCACCTGCACCCATATCTACATCAGCACCTGCATCCACATCAGCACCTGCAT